CAGGAGGTCACAGTTCGATTCCCAGTCAGGGCACATGCCCGGGTTGCTGGCTTGACCCCCAGTAGGGGGCTTGCAGGAGGCAGCTGATCCAGGATTCTCTCTCATCATTGATGTTTCTATCTCTCTCCCTCTTTCCCTTCCTCTCTCTGAAATCAATAATACACACACACACACACACACACACACACACATATGTATACATACATAATTGAAAAAAAGAATGGTGTTGGCCCCGTCAGAGTCAAGGTTTGAGAGATGGCCACACGAGGATATTCTCTGGGGAGCGGGGGCCTGCTTGTCTGTCCCACAAGCACAGGAGCCTCAGCGCACCTGCTAAAGCAGGGGTCCTCAAACTACGGCCCGCGGGCCACATGCAAATACAAATATTGTATTTGTTCCCGTTTTGTTTTTTTACTTCTGATTGACTCATTACAATGAACACGTTTAAATATAATAAGTTTTGAAGGTTGATTAAAAGGATGATTACACCCTAACTGAATCTGGTTTATAAGTGGAGCAGCCAAGTTCTGCTGAGTCCGAGAGGCCGGGCTGACCTCTCTTCCCTGGACACGCAGGGCGGGAGGGGTCTTGTTCTGAGAGTCGTGCTGCACCCAGTGAGTCCACAGGAGAGCTGCCACGCTCCAGGGCGTTTTCTGTAGGAAATGCTCCCATTGTACACGTTTTACACATCATTGCGAGGCAGTAAGCGTGGCAGCCTGGGGAGACCTTATTCAGGTGTTTTATTCACTCTTGCTTAGGAACTACTTCTGTTGAAGATGCCACCCAGGCCTTCTGAGTCTACAGGGGCCCTAAGTCCTGGGCAGCAGCCAGCTCCAGGAGGTTCGTGACCGAGCCCTTCTCAGTAACTGTCCCAAAGATGCTAAGATACAGGCTCACTGAGCACTTACCCATCGCAAGCACCATGTTAAGTGCTTTGCATGTACTGCCACAATGAATCCTCCAGTAATCCTATGAGATCAGCATCCCCATAATCCCCATGGAGGTTGAACAACTAGGTTAATGTCATGCAGGGGCTCAGTGGCAGAGTTGGGATTTCACCAAGGAAAAGGCCAAGAGAGCTTGCATGGGTGCTGGAAGGTATAGCCGTGCCAGCTGTGGTTAAGCATCGACCACTGAATCAGGAGGTCACGGTTCGATTCCGGTCATGGCACATGGCCAGGTTGCGGGCTCGATCAATAAAATACATCAAAAGAAAAAAAAGAAAAGAAGACAAGACAGAGCTCAGATGCAGCCCTGCGCTCTTCCTCCCGGGAGCTACTTACTGCGTTCTCAGGGTGGAAGATGTACGAGGCCGGAGAATTGTCCACGATGATCACTTTGCTCAGCTCCCGTCCCAGGCGACTCAGGTCTTTCACGTAGTTCCCTCGATGGAAAACACAGGATTCTCTGAAGAGCCGGGCCCGGAACACACCCCAGCGGTCCAGCAGGTCAGCCACGGGGTCTGCGTACTGGAAGGCAGGTGTTGCCAATGAAGGCTGGCGCCCGGGAGCCCAGAAACCCTGACCTACCGCAGCCTTCCTCTTCTCAAGAGGGATTTACACCCGCGAAAGTTTCAGGATCCTGGTTATTTCCTCCGTGTGTGTGAGACACCCTGGGTTCTTCCATTTCTCTCACTTCCCTTATCCAATCCATCAGGAGTTCTTGTCCATCTCCTCGCCCCTCTACCGCAGGCTCCCGGCCCTCACCCAGTCCTCGAATCCAGCCTGGGGTGGCCTCCGCTTCCCCTTGGCCTCCCTTCCAGCCACTCATTTGCAATAAGGCCTGCGCTCCTCACCGCCAGCCCGTCAAGCCTGCAGCTGCGTGACCTCTCCGCCCCACCTCGCATCACGTGAGCCACAGTGGCTTTGAACATAGTGAGAACCCGGGCTCCCTCTGCCTGGAACCGTCTCTCCCCGGCTCTCTGCATGAGCCTCTCCTGCACCCTCATTTCTCAGGCCTTGGCATCCCTCACCACCCGCCGAGGGTCCTCCTGCATCTTCCTTGCGGATAATGCTCCATTCCTCACAGAGCTTATCACACGTAGGATTGCTTTATTTTCTCTTCACTGTCGTGCTCACCTTGCACCTTGCAGAGTGCCGACCCCATGGTGAGGGCTCGGTAAATATTAGTTTCAGCCATGAACAACGAATGAGCTGACATTTATGTATGTATGTGTGTATTTATTTTGGAGCTGACTTTTAATTGGGCTTGTGTGGCATGAAGCCACACTGCCCCCTAGAGGTGCTCTGGGCAACTGGTCTGCCCAGCCCCTGACTGTCTTAGGATGGGGCCCAGACACCAGGAGTTGATGGGAGGGAGTCTGAGCCCCGCCTGCAGCTGGGGATCACCCTGCCTGGTCCTCTCTCACGGCCTGGGCAGTTTTCCCCAACAGGCTGTGGAGAACAGTATGGAGTTTCCTCAAAAAACTAAAAATGGAACTTCCATTTGACCCAGTGATCCCACTTTTAGGAATATATCCCAAGAATCCAGAAACACCAATCAGAAAGGATATATGCACCCCTATGTTCATAGCAGCACAATTTACCATAGCTAAGATTTGGAAACAGCCTAAGTGCCCATCAGCAGATGAGTGGATTA